GAAATTCTTCCCTGTGAGGGTGGTGAAGCACCGGAACAGGTTGCTCAGAGAAGCTGGGGCTGCCCCCTCCCTGGCAGTGCTCAAGGCCAGGCTGGATGGGGCTGGGAGGAACATGGTCTAGCAGAAGGTGTACCTGCCCATGGCGGGGGGGTAGGACTAGATGATCTTTAAGGCTCCTTCCAACCCAAACCATTCTATGATTCTATGGGAACTCTAGTAAGCAGGCCTTATCATATCTGTCCAGCCCAGGCTCTCCTCCCTTATGTTTTCATTTAAATCATTAGCACTCATCATACTAAGGTTTTAAAAAACTATTTAGTTTATGAGCAAGTTTCACTTGTAATCAGCTCATAATAGGCTTTTTTCCAAATCTACATATCTTTACAATCACATCCAAAACAGTCTTTATTAATGCTGTCTCTCTCTTTTCCCTGGGAGAATCGCACTCCCCCTCACACCTTTTTTTTTTTTAACCATAAAGCAAGCATAGCCCTGTCATCCAATTCCCTTGTTAACACGTTTTAAATTTAATCAGAATACCTGAGGTGTCAATAATCATGTTTGTCTTTCTGACAAGAATCAGAAACAGAAATAAAGCTCATGCTGCATAACAATAATGTAATCCAGTGCTGCATCTGAAAAACTTACTTTTCAAGAAGTCTCTCAAGCAACCTGATCTTTTTATTTGAAAACATGTAAGGAGAATCAGCCTTTTGAAACTAAATTTAATAAACCAAGCAACTTGATCCAAATAAGAAACAATAAATTAGTTAAAAGCCACTAGGAAAGATGTCAGGATTCCCTCTCAAATCATCAGCGTCACCTTTCAAAAAATATTTTTCAATTAATCTAAATAAAAACGGGAGGGGAAAAAATGTCACTATTATGTTAGACATTTATTGCTGAAATAAAATTAATATTTCCCCGTGCTTGCTTAAGACAGTGTTACTAAAACAGTCTTAGCAGTGAAGTTGGAAAGTAATAGATAGCCTAGAGTGCCCTCTTTCTTTTTTGAGAGGAGTTTCAGGGAAATATTCTGTTCATGAAGACATCAGTCAGTTGTTTCTTAGAAAGTCAAATAAAATAGATAACTAGGCTGCGTTAAAAAAAATGTAAACATGAAAGCAGTTCAGCATAATTTAAGCGATAGCCTTACATTGGTGATGAACATGATTCTATCTTAATAAAACGATACTTACAGAGCCATCTGAAATTGTTCAAGCCACTTTTTCTTCAAGTCTTTAGTTTTGCAATAAACTTCTAAACCATTTTGACCTTGGATATGAATGAGGTAGAAGCCATAAGACCACTGCATAAAAAGATTGGCAATACAAAAGGTCATCAGTGATGAAGAAAGGAAAAGAAAAAATAAAGAAGTATTAGTATGTTCTTTATTTCCCAGATTTGGGGACTAGCAAGACCACATTATTGTTTGAGTAAGTAATTCCTAAGTGAACACGTTTTAATTACATGAAAATAAACAAAGCTGAAATCCCTAAATACTCACTTAAGCTTCCATTTAATTTTTTTTTAATTTTTAAACTTTTCACATAAAACTTTGTAAATAAATTGTACATATATTCTGAACTCCTGCAAAATGTTTCAAATTGCTGCTAAAAATACACATTTATATGAATTAGCAACAAATATTTACCTTCTTATTTTCTTTATCAGTAGTGGGATTATTTGTAATTTTGTATTTCTGAAGATCTATTATTTCCTTCATTTCATAATTATCACCTCTCCGTTTACAAACAATTACAGCTAGATCAAACAAGAAGATATGCCTATGAAAATACAATATAAAGATGGTTAAAAACACTCCAGAAAGCCAACACCCAAAGTCTTATTTTACACACCTTTGCCTGTGGCACTTAAAATTTTGAAGGTAAACTACTAAACTACTGAATAAGGAAACAAAAACCACTGAAAGTACTTTTGCTAGAGGACTTGCTACTTGCAAGGGACTTAGGTGACCTTAGATGATAATGTAAGAGCTAACTTCCCTTGAACCACTTTGCAAATTCACTTGGTAAATGGTGGATAGGCTCTGGGAAGGCACAGTGAAATACAAAGTACTTTCAAGAACCATTGAGCTGACCTCAAATCTAAAAAGAGCTACTTTATAGGCTTTTTAATAGCAAACACCAGAAGTCATGCCATCACCTGTCTTGCCTTGCACGTTTGTCTAACGTAGTTATCCTTATTTCCCCATCACCTTGAGGTCTTCCATACTGTAAGAGGGAATGGTTCTGAAACAGAAGTAGTATGTATGATTCAATACAGCAAAAGTGTCAAGATGACAACTCATTCAAATTTTAGACCACTCCTTTCACCCCAAAAAAGGGACTTTTCAGGCCTGCAAACAACATCTTTTCCTCACTATCATCTAAACTGAATACAATAAAGAATCAGTCCATTCCACTTTTGTCTTCAAATGGGAAAATTTTTCCCATTACAAAACTACCTGAGTCACTGTACAAATACAAACCTTTAACTGTGCAAATGTTTAACTACGCAAATGTTTAACTACAGACAGATCCCCAAAATAGCAGATTTCTGTACTTAAATATTCACATCATTCTAAACCAAGCAAAGCATACTTATATTTAAATATTGCCAAGAGTCCTATAATCTTATATGAAATGGGGAAAAAGTACATTTATCAATACATTTGATCAAAAGTGATTTAAAAGCTGTACAAATGAAAAATATCACGTACCAAATTCTCTATTGATAGTTGAAACTGTCTAATTTCACGGAGCGTTTCATTATCTCTCTTCACTTCATTTACATATTGAGCCAAGTCCTAGAGCATCAACAGAAAAAGGGAGGAAAAAAAAAATTTCCATAACAGACCACTTTAATTCAAAATTTATCAAAATAATATGTTAGACTTATCTGCATACTTAGTCATTTTTTTAAAAAAAATCATCTTTAATGTTCAAGAATTACCAATATGTATGCCTCAAGAAGGAAAAAAGCCTTGGCATATCTTCAATCATATTTACAACTTTCTTCATCATATCTATTGAAACACAAATTTAGTGGCAAGAAAGAGGGAAACATAATAAATTGTAAAACATGGCTGATTTTTTCTTACTTTTGTTAATGTCTTATTTTCAAGATTAAATATCAAAATGTAATTTATGCAACACACTGCCAAAAAAGCAGTCAACAACATCCAATATCTGAGAATAAGACTGAAGGTAAATACAGCATATAGTAGAAAACCTATGTAAAGCAGCTCAAAAGCAGCATGTAAGGTGTAAACATATGATAAGCCTGGGTGCTTCTTAGGAGAGAAGAAACTACTGCCCTAGTAGCCAGATCTTGCTCTTACTATTGCACAGCAGAGAAGCCATTACACAGCAGATTTTAAAAGGGGCTTTTAATGGGATATACTACCTGAAGTCAGAGGTCGAGATCATTATTGTCCCCTTTACCAGAACATCAACTGTATACATTTCATTAAAGCCTTTGAAATGCTCTGAACATGCTTGAGTAATAGTGATAATTTGCTGGGGCTTCTCTGTTTATGCCTAGAGATGAGGAGTGAGCAGCAGTGGTAATTGCAAGGTCAGAGATGCTGAGAGCAGCAGTTGGAAAAGGCATTCTGATCTTCACAACTTGCTTTTACAGTATCCCTTCAATATGGCCACAAATTTGGAGGGTGGGAGAAAGATACATCTTCTTCCTAAGACATTTTTAATCAGAATCTAAAAATAGCTGCAATCATTATGCTAGCTTCCCAAATGAATCTGTGCACAGTACATTCACATCAGTCTTAAAAGAGCTAGTGTAGAAATTAAATAACCTCTTTTCTTGCTGCTAAAAGAAATCTGACAGCATAATCTTTCCTAGAATTTTCTTTCTTGGAGGGCAATACCACTTTGCTGTCAGTTCTTCCAAAGACATTTTCTTTTCGAGCAGGCGTCCCAGGGTTTTTAGAAGCAACATAGTGCTGCTGCACAGTTACTTCTGCCATGCTTGCACGGACTACTGCAAGAGGATAAAGTAAATCAGGAGGGAAACAATGCTGCAGCCCTAAGGAGAACGCCTCACACCCGGGTTTTGCGGTAGGCAGGGTGTGGGTGATGGCTTTTGGGGTTTGTTAATTGGCTGGTTATGTCCTGCCAGGCAGCACATACCTGCCACAGCCACTCTGGCGAGAGATTTCTTAATTGGTCTTTTCAGTCCAACAGCCACCAAAAAATAACGAAGCCAGCCAGCAAACAGGAAGGAAGGGGGCGGCAGGTGTGGAGGTGCGCAGCAGCCAGGATGCATGGCTTGCCACTAGATGGAAGCAACACTGCGCCATCCCATTTCAGGCACCTCTCCGTGGGAGATTATCATGGTCTCTTTCTGCATTCACTGCACAAAACCAGATTAGAAAAAAGGGGAACCAAAAGTCTCATTTGTGAGCTGCTCTGCATTCCAAGCATTCAAGGCAGACAGTCACATAACACAAGACAGCTGTATGACCCAAAACTAACTTAGTGTGACTTCAGCATCTTCTGTGGGCCATACACATTACAACAGAAGGAAATATGTCGTGTTGGCTTCTTTCCCCCTTTCCCCACAAAGGGTAGGAAAAAATTTCACAATTCCAGCACATAAATGTCACAATTGCTTGCCATGAAGCCAACTGAAGCAGAATCACAGAATGGTAGCGGTTGGAAGGGACCTCTGGAGATCATCCAGTCCAACCTTTCTGCTAAAGTAGGTTCACCTACAGCAGAACTGTGCTTCATTTCTGAAGACGTGCAGAGGAACACATGATATATTACCTTATACATAAGGCAGTACAGCAAGTCTATAAAGCATTTGTTTGTACCACTTGCAGGCGAACGTACAGCGGCAGATACTCTACCTCCAGAATGACACTAATGCTTTCAAATGTAAAACCACAGAGATCATATTAAGGTGACAAAAAGAAAAGTCTTGTGAAAAAAGGTAATTGTCTTCATCTCACTGGGAAACCACTGACCTTGACTAGAATTGACTTACAGTGGTAGAAATATTCCTAAATTTTGGAAGCAAGACCAACATCACTGCAACATCTGTTTTTCACCTCATTATAACAGCAAAATGATGTGTAAGTACACTGAAATGAGGAAGTTCCACTTCAAAAAACTACTGAATTTGTTTCCCAGACTTGAGTAAACCCTCAACTGTATACTTGTCCTGACACACTCTCAAAGCTCACAGTGACCTGTAAAAACAAGTTTGATCTGCCGTGAAGAACATCATCTCCTCCAGGAAATATAGTTCTGAGCTACCATTTTAACAGCCAAGACAGACATAGATATTCCATTGCCATGAGCACTTACCTTCATTGCATCAAGTGCCAGTTTTAGATTTGCCTTCTCCATGGGATCAGTAGTGTGCTTTACCAGCTCCTGTGGACAGAGCAGTTAAAACTTTTCACCCACTGTCAGCTTATAAATTAAAGTTGTCAGTGCTCCTTCCCACCCCACCACCCCCCCCGCGAAATTAAAAAAAAAAAAAAAAGGCAAGCCAAAACCAGAAAACACAACCCAAGAATTCAAATTTTCATCCCTATAGTAAGTAGCCTATAACTGAGTGGGGACTACTGCAAACAGGTAATTGGCAAGTGTTTAAGAATGATTGCTGTGTAGCCTAAACACTGACTTCAGCTGATAACGAACCATCATTAGAAGCTAATTTGGTCTGTCTACCACTTGAGACTTGCCAAATCAGATCATCACTGTATGTGCGTGCTGAAAGCACAGGTAAACACACTTGAGTTCATGTGCACATTACTATACGGTATATCGTCCCACTCCAAAGCATGCACTCGTCTGCAGAGAGGGACGTATGCTGGCAATAAAATCTCAGCTAAACCGTGCACTGCTTAAAAGAAGTCGCTGTCTCATCACACCCAAGATAAAGCTGACTCAGAAGACAAATTTAAATCAAACGTAAATGTTTAAAGAATTTTTTTACCCACTTCCCACATGGAAAATAAAAGGCTTTTTTAGTTTTTATGAAGTGAAAAAGTAACCTCTCGGGGAAACAGGTTATTTCTTCTTTATAATTTGAGAAGAGAATTACACATTTCAGCTAACATAATAACTTGCTAAAATCATAGGAAATGAAGGAGTAAGTATTTATACTTCACATTACAACTCTAATAATTTACTGGATATTTTTTTCAAAATCTATAAAATCACACACACACACACAAAATGTTAGGGGTTGGAAGGGACCTCGAAAGTTTCTTGTAAAATGAATACTATAGTGTCACAGTGTAGTGACGTATATAACCTTTTCTTAATATACAGTTTGATTACAGAATCATGACTCAGGTCTCATAAGTTTTTTTAAAAAGCAGTTGTACCATTCATTTTGTTTTTTCCAATTTTCCGATAATCAAAATATTGATAACTCATAGAAATATTTCAGAAAATTTAATATTACAGAATGTATGTTGCTCTGTAGAGTCAAAATTATGCTTCACATACAAGTAGTAGATCTTTTTAAAATGACATTTTACAAGCATCAGCAGGGTTGACAGTCTAATATAGTAATGTATTTCTTTGCAGCTGAACTAATGAGTCTCCTGGCACAGCTATCAAATTAAATTTATAAGACTCTCCACCCTTATTACAGGGCTAACTGCAAAAGCTAATGCTTTGTGGGTTATAACAAGAAGCATTTCAAAATAAATATGGCTTTATTGTAATTTATGACAGCAAAGAAGCATCTTAAAAGTATGCTGTAAGCATAGTTCAGCTTCCTCTTTTTCGGGGGGGGGGGTAACTGTTCACATTTGAAAGTACTGATTATAGTTTGGTACTACTAACCATTTTAAACATACCAAGAAAGAAAGGTTCAGATACTGAGGAAACAATTGTGGTTTATTTTTTTTCCCCTGGATATGCTTCTGTTCGGAGGAATGATCTCTGTATGAAAACCTGCACTTGACTGGATTTTATTTCGTAACAAATCAGCCTCAAATCTATGGAAATGTCAGTCACCTCCCTTTTGTAAAGGCTTTTAGCTCTCATTCTTACAATCCACTGATGATAAACAACCACAGTTTTGCTCTCAGCCCCCTTAAATTTCAAAAATAAAATACCTGGAGCAGTAGGTGATATTTTAGTACTCTCTGCATTGGAACCACTAAAAGATCCCGCAATGTAAATTTCCCGTTATTTGCCCTCTTGGAACATTCCTAGTTCAAAGCAGAAGAAAGAATAGGACAAGATAGTTAGAAAACAAAAATATTCAAGTGATATACATTAAAATTCAGTGATACATGGGCCAAGCAACTATATTAATCTTAAGATAAAGCATATCAACAATATGAAGGAAAACTGTTCATATGGCAATAATAGCTAAGCAAAACCAGACTGGGTCTAGACATTTGCTCTTGGTATTTCAACAGCATGAGAAATAGAATAAACATCACAAAGACAACAGAAATTGAACTAAATAAAAAAAAAGACATTGCCTATAAGCACAGCGAAGGCAGCAAATATTACACCTATCTTCAGAAAAGCAAGAGATAATCTTGGAAACTACAGGCCAGTCAGTCTCACTTCAGCCCCTGCAAAAATTATGGAGCAAGTCCTCTTGGAAGCAATTTCTGGGCTCATGAAGAATGTGACTTGGAATATCCAGCATGGATTTACCACAAGTAAATCAATGCTTGACATATTTGACTGCTTTCCACAATGAAATGGCTAGATCTGTGAACAGGCGGGGGAGGTCCTCCTTGGCTTGTCCAAGGCTTTCAACATCATCTCCCACAGCATCCCAATATCCAGGTTGGAATGTTATGCTCAAGATGAATGAGCTACTAGGTGTATTATAAAACTGGCTAGATCACAACGCTCAAAAAGAGCAGTCACTAATGTTTCCTACACTACCTGAGGGACAGTTTCAAGCAGAGCTCCTCAGGGGTCTGTCCAGGGGCCCTCTCTCATTTAAAATCTTTAGCAATTATCTGCAGGAAAAGACCGAGGACACCCACAACAAATCTGCAGGCAACACCAGATTGGAGGTGCAGGTGAGACTCTTCAGGGCACATCCAACAGGAATTCACATGAAGGCAACAAGGTGAAGGCAAGGTCATCCACCTATGGTATGCACTAACCAGGGACACGCTAAGCCTGAGGGCTGACCAGCTAGGGAAAAGCTCTGCTGGAAAGGACCCAGGGGCCATGGCAGACAGGAAGACCTCTGAGGCTGGGCGACCCAGGGCTTGTTCATCCTACAGGTCTCTCCCAACCTGAGTGATTCTGCAATTCTGTGCTCTCAGCTGAGACAAACAGAAGGATATCACTGATGATCACTTCCAGAAAAAAAAAAAAAAACTAACCCTACTGATGTTGGTGGCAAAACTACATTCACTTCCATGTAACACAACAGTTCACATATTCGATCAAAGGCTCCAAAAAAATGAAGAGGAAGAGAAATGCATTCATGTATCAGTCCTGCTAACTTTTCGTCATGAAGATTTTGACTTGGATGAAAGCAGGGTGTATTGATAGAAACACGCGGGGGTTTTTACATATTATATATATATATATACACACACATTAAAAAATACTGATACCTCTAACTTCAATTTAACATCTTCTTTTGTCTTAGAGATGTTGTCTAAGCACGATATCGCTATCTCCACTTGACTGCAGTACTGTCCATAAATAACCAATCTAAATGAAAGCAAGAGATAAAGAATAAAAGAAACACTTCCTTATTTAAGAACAATCCTTGATCATTTTTCACAAATACATTGTTAATAATCCCCCTTTCAAAAGGAGCAGTGCCTAAATAATCAAGGATAGGATTTAGCCACAGACTTCAACGAGCAACATGAATACATGGAAGAATATTTAGGAGAACACAATTTTGATCAACCTTCAAAATGCTGTAAAATCTTTGCAATTTCCTTTAATATTCATATGTATGTGTTCTGATAAACACAAGAGTCATTTAAAAGCTGTGTAACTGCTGTTTAACAGAACAATGGTTTGTAGTATTTACAACACTGTAGATTTCCAAGGTTATAATGAATGAATTCTGTAACACAGGCTTAACATGACTAATTACAGCTATCCTTTAAAAAACTTGTGGATTACCCAAACTGATCCATCTCCAACAGTTTCTACCAGGTTATATGAGCTCTCAGATCAAAATAATAGTGTATGAAAACCCAAGAAAATTTCAATAGTTCTCAAAGGCAGCAATGCTTCTTGCAGGAGCCTGGTTTTATGACAGGAGCTTCATGCCCCTGTTTGGAGTGTTTCTTTCTGCTAGTCTCACTGCAAAGAGCGCTGTTTCCTTTCACCTTTTCATAAACTTCTTGAGGTTATTCCTTCTGTATGCTTCAAAACCCTTTTCTGGGTGTTTCTATGGGCTTTCCATTGAGGTCTCCTATATTTCTTTTTCTCTCAGTTAATCTTTACCGTTCCTTTTTTCTTTAAATTCTTTTTTTACAATTAAAGTGATAAAACTGATCTAAACCTTGCCATTTCTGATTACTTTTAATCATGAGGTGGTAAAGATACCAAGTCTACCTCCATCTGCTTCCTTTTTGTATAATACAAACTTGAGGTTTCCTCTCAGTGTCCTTTGTTCCCCCTTTAGCACACATTTCAGAACTACTTTTAAAAGATAAGCGTTTTCCAGAATAACTTCTTGTCCCCTAATTCTGTCCTACAGCAGCAGAAAGTCTAACAGCCTGGGAAATAACTATGTCCTGCTCCAACATAAAAGCTAAGACAGAGGGTCTCTGAAGGCAAGACTGTTTATGGGCAGCCTGGGACACCCTCCTCCCTCAGAAAACAACTCTTCTGTCCAACATTTTCCGGATGCTGCTGTCCAGTTTCTCACAGGCCTGTTATTACTGCAGCAATCCTCATTTCCCATCACCCTCAAGCAAATCCAATTAGCTCCCACAGGTCTTTCCCACTCCAATTCCAGAAGGAACTAATTTTTAACCACAACCCAAGGGTTACTTCAAGGTAGGTCAGCACTGTAGCCCACAGTACAAGTGTTTTTCAGCCAAGTACCACAGGCATATAACTTCATCTATACAGTCGAACAGCTGTTTAATGCTGGCAGAAAAAACAATCTGAAAAGGTGGGTAAAACAATTGGCAATTAGCCTACAGGGCATGGCATGTTGCCACAGCTATCCTGTTACCAGCCTGGCTGCTTTTCACAATTTGAAGGTAGAGCATATTTGCTTTACTGTCACACCTTTGACTGCAAGGCAGGGTAAGACCCTAGTCTCTTCTCTTTTGCACCTTCTTTCTCTTCTTTGAACTTATGACCTCTTCTGTTTTCTTTAACCTGGAATAGCCTCAATACACATCCTTGCCTTATTTTGCCCCTTCTTCCCCTTTTAGCTGCTAAACAATACAGGTACATGCTATAAAAATCCTGGGATTATTTGCATTAAAGAAGTAAGCAATTTAAGTTTTGTTTAATACATAGATATGAACTGTCTATGTAACAATAATGCCAAGGCTAGCCACAAAAAGAGTGAGAGCTCATATACCAATAGGTTACATTTTGACTTCCATGCTCAAAAACACCAAAACACGAGCTTAATGAAGTATACTGACATCAAATTCAATCCTGTTTCAGAAATATTCATCAAACAAAAATACAGTAAAATACTTTACCGAATTGAGCATTGATTATCACAATTAGTAAGACTACATAAATCTTACCTTTCTTTGTAGTTAATAAAAATTTGATACAGGTTCTGATCATTTTTGTTAACAATGGAATCATTGATGTCCTGTGTTAGACTCCTGTGAATTTTCACCAAATCCTTAAAAAGAGTAATAAGATGGGGGAAAGGTTTTTAAAAACAGAACTTAAAGCTTTGAATATAAAAATCTTTCATTAGATCTGTTAATTTCAATAAATTTGGAAACAGAGCATTTGAGAGTAGAACCTAATTTCAAGGTTTGCCACATCTTCCATGCATTGCAACAAGAAAAACTGAACTCCAAGAACTACCTATTAGAGACTAATTTATCCTAGCCTGGAATGTGCACTGTTAATTCATCTTCATTTTATAATGATAATTTTAAAATTAAGCAAGTCAAGTAAATGCTTTAGTGACAAGATAAAGTAATGATTCATGTCCCTGAGCTGTGAAAAATTAGTTTTGTACATTACATTGGTCAATTAGTGATGTTCTAGTGCTAAGTTAACTGCAATCATAATGAGTTTCCCAATACAGCAGGCAACTAATGGCTGAAAGGCAAGAATACTGCAGAAAGATTTGCTCCCTAAGTATAGTAGCAACTCACCTTACTTGTTCACTATTATGCAAAAATCTGTAAGCAACTATAGGAGATTACATCAGCCTTAATACTGTACAGTTACTGTCAGAGAATTCACAAAAAATTAAGTCAAAACAGGTTAAAAAGTTTTGAAATCAGAATAACTGAGTGCAAGCAGTGTACAAACACTGCAATGAAAGGGAGAGGACTGTTTAAAAAAAAAGCCATTGAAGACTGTTTAATGTAGTAGATAATATACTACAAAAATAATACACAAGATTGAGTTGTGAACTAAGTGAAAACATTTTGCTTCACACTGATGAAAACTAAGAGTACACACAAGGTCAATCACATCACAGGCGAGGGAATAAAAACTTAAACCAGACCAAATTCAGTTGCTAGCAACTGTATGTACGGCCATATCCTCAGCTGCAGCAGACAAAGACGTCATTACAGAAATGCCTCCTGATTAATATATTACAGGAGCACATGTTCTCAGGAGTGGAAAGGGACTCAACTAAGCAACACCCCTGAAAAACAGCTTAATGTTAAGGGGACAAAATGTCTTTTTGAGCTTCTACCTCCAATTCAAACTCAAGTTTTAAATTAAACTGATGTCAACATCATTAGAAGTTAATGAAAGTTGCAACACTTCACTATCTGTTACATGTACTTCCATCTCTTTCCTTCTGTAGGTCCATATATACGTCTCAATTCAAATGCATGTATAGGTGTATATATGTGGTGGGTTGACCCTGGCTAGATGCCAGGTGCCCACCAAAGCCACTCTATCACTCCCCCTCTTCAGCTGAACAGGGGAGAGCAATGTAACAGGCTCATGGGTCAAAATAAGGACAGGGAGATCTAGTCCTTCCCATGGGCTGCAGTTCTTCACAAACTGCCCCAGCGCGGGTCTCCTTCATGGGGTGCAGTCCTTCAGGAACAGACTGCTCCACCGTGGATCCCCCCCAGAGGCAAAAGTCCTGCCAGCAAACCTGCTTGAGCATGGGCTTCTCTCTCTCCACGGGTCCACAGGTCCTGCCAGGAGCCTGCTCCAGTGCAGGCTTCCCACAGGGTCACAGCCTCCTTCGGGCATCCACCTACTCCAGCATGGGGTCCTCCACGGGGTGCAGACAGATATCTGCTCCACCGCCCATGGGCTGCAGGGGGACAGCCTGCCTCACCATGGTCTTCACCGCAGAGGAATCTCTGCTCCTGTG